TTTTTTTAAAAAAAAAATCATGCCTTTTTTTGCCAAAATCAATTCCATTGATACAATTCGCATTGTGTAACCAGAAAGCTTCCGGAATTTCTGGAGAATGTGTCAGTACAACATAGCAATCTGATTGCTTAATAACAGACTTGACCTATTAGGTCAAAGCCATTGTTGCAGGTCAATTCACGACGGTAAATGCTTTGCATCGAGAGTTTGTGTACAACAAAACACATTCGCCAATAAAGATAATGATTGATGAAGATTTTGTGTTTCAACAGACTCTAAGAATAATAAAACACAATTTTATATTCCCCTCACATGGTGAACTGAATTTGTCATTTGCACTTTTTTTCAAGTGTGCGTGGGTAAGCGCCCACTCCCCTAAAACTCATGTATTTTAAAGCTGGGCACCAAGGGCACTCATACGAGTATGGTACACACGACATTATACACACAAAACTCACCAGCTCTGTTATGGTACAGTTCAGAATAAGCTGGTGGTAAATCATCAGGTATAGATTTGTTTTCTTGTGTAGCAGGATATGATGGCGGATTCTGGAAAACTGTGCTTGGCATTGCTACTGTACTTCTTGAAGTGGTTGTGGTTGGAATCTCACCACTAACAACCTGTACAGGGTTATCATACTGGTATATGGTTCTATTCCGAGATACCTGAAGAAATACATACGAAAATAACACAAGTTTATTATCATGGTGATGTACTGGTTTTAAAAATAGGTTAGCCATCAACATAGAGAAATAAAATCAATGCATATACATATTTAAATAAAGGTAAAATAAGTAATTCAATTACATAGTCCTGTTTAGTTATCAAGTTCAAGAAATATATAAAGTTTGAATATAAACAGTCAAAGCATGTCATGTGATATAATGTACATGTGAAACGACTCAATTGTTAATACAAAATGATCGCCAGTCGAGCATTTTGAATCCAATCTGAAAAACAAAATGAACATCAAGGTTCAATGTATCCACAAAGTTTGAACAAAATCCATTTATATATGACATAGACAATGAAGATCAAGGTTAGAAATGTTTGGTTTTGATGAATTTCAAGCACAAAAATGGCTACCATTTGACTATGTTAAATCAGATCACAAAATGAATGAACGTACATACGCCACCCGCAAATGCATGACATATGTGTGAAATTTGAATGAGATTGCTGTCCAGGCTTTTCTGAGATGAGGATGTATGCCCATTCACAGGAAATGATTCTAAATACTGTCTAAACTAAAAAAAAAAAAAAGATATACACACGCTCACACGAATAGATGCACACAAGGAAGTTAATATACAAGGCCCAGTTTTCGGCTTGCCTGCAAACAGGAGCTAACAAATTGATACCAAACAAACATTCATGGTCCTGCTTAGGTGGCCTTCATGCCGTTGCTTCTGTACACTAAACAAAGTTTGAGTACGTTCTCTAGATTTTCAGAAAATAAAAAATTTAGCTCTATTGTGTTCTTAGTTATAAGTCACTAATTAATGTTTACACAACAGAATAATTTCACCAAATGATAAACCGGATTGTCAAAAAAAAAATAATAATATGAATTGATATAGTGGATACTTGTGGTTTAGATGGTTTAGAAAGTCTGGTTGGGAATAGTGGATTTGAAAAATGGCTGCACAGATAAAAAAAATCCTACACACATCAGTGTGAGAAGTATCTAATGGTAAACACTGTACCTGGGAAAGAAACTGTCACAACAATAAAAGAAAATACCAATAAAAGCAATCTTATTTCCTACCTGGCCACTGATTGCCTGAGCTCTTCCTCTAACTGCCATGTTTCGTACTGATCCATCAGGCATGATTACTCTAACAAGAGTACCTTGATTATCCCGATTCCGGCGAGACTGGTACCAACACATGTAAAAACCAATTTTTAGCAACACAGCAAACACGATTATTCTAGAATAAGGCAAAAACATCAGTATTACACAAAATTCAATACTTTGCCAATTTTCTGTATATGTTTTGTTAACAAATCATTCTGTTTTTCTTGTGAAAAATTCATGCTATTCATCATTTTTTGTATTGAAGAGTACCATTGTAAATTGGATTTCTTTTGTTCAAGGTATGCTTGTTTTGTGATATTATTGCCTGGTAATTTACTGATTCGAGTCCAGTATTTTATTAAATTGATCTGAATACCTACTAAGAGTGGGAATTCTCCTACTTTGGCTCTGCATGCAATGATTGCCACAAATTTGTTCAGTCCTACCGGTAGTAGTTATTTGTAAAAATTCAATTGTGTTTTTTCTATTATTGTTTTGGTAATTTTGAATTTCATGACCCCAGATTTCAGATCCATACAATAATATTGGTTGAATACACCTTTTAAAAAGATGGATGAAAGTTCTACAATTTGTTTCTGGTGGTAGGATGCACACATTGCTCGGACTGCTTTATCTGCAAAATTTTGTTTGGCTTCAGTGTAGCAGCCATTTGACTTTATATTTATACCCAGGTAGTTGTACATATCTACACAGGTAATATTTTGTTCATTATAATAGAAATTTTCTGTCTTTTTCAGTGTTCCTCGTCTGAATATAATAACTTTGTTTTTGTCAGGTTTACCTGGAGTTTCCATTTATGTCAAACCTCTAAACTATTTAGTTCATTTTGTAGACCATTTTTTGTTTCAGATATTAAGGTAGCGAGAAGGTTTTGTGACGTTTTTAAATAAAACATTGTCTGTCTGTTGTCTCGTTCAGAACAGTAATTTAGGTTATATATATCAAAAGACTAAGTATAGAGGTGCAAGTTCGCACAAACTGGACAGACATTGTTTACATAATTATCACGTGACATCAAAAATGGCGAACCTTGTAAAAATGACTAAGTACGCGATTGCGAGAGCACACTGCGGAATTTCCTGGTGAAATTTAAGTTATGCATTGTCCGTAATCAAGTCCATTGAACTGCGTCTCCGATAATCAAAAGACCTATTATTCCGATTTCTATGCAGGTTTGTTTTTTTGTCCCCAAATTATTTCATACTTGGCACCTTTAACAGACTATTATTCTGTGACAAAGCATTTTCTTTAAAAACC